CAGGATGAAAAAACGGTCCCGGGGAAGGGGTCCAGACCTCTCGGGGGCGACGCCGCGAGGAGATCACGACATCGGGGGTCTGGGGGGGAGGGGCGCCCTGCAGAACTCCATTGCGGCCCAAAACTGCGACTGCGGCCGCGACCTGCGCGGAACAACTCAGAGCCGCTGCCGGGTGGGGCCGAAGCACCCGGAGAAGGCACAAGACGAGACAGTTAGCGCATGCACCCTTGGCCCACGGGCTGGTCAGGCACAGCACGGCACCAGCACGACCAATCAGTGACGCGAGGACGCGTTTGGGCAATTGAATCACAGCATGGCGCTCTGGGCATATGTGTCAGTGTGCGTTCTCCTCAACCCCATTGTCTCCTCAGGGAGGGTAAACACTCCCTCCCCCACTCGGCCGACCGCCAACCAGTAAAAATGATCCCATCCCCATGACCCATCAGCCAGTCCCAAAAAGTATGACGTGCTGCCTGGCGGAATACTGAGTCCAATATCTTAGCCAGACTTTAGCCAGTGTAAGGCCACATAGGGACTTCCAAAAGTCTGAGGGCGGCGGTGGTTCACCATAGGCGTCTTCGATACAGTGAGCCTGTCTCTGAAAATATGATGGCAATGTCTGGAGCACTGCCAGCGCCATATGAATACGCTGTCTCTGCATGTCAGGTAATCCTGAAACCAGAGCGGTCCCTTTACATAATTGTATATACTTCGAAGTACGCCAGGGCAACTGGACAGCATCGGGCGTCGCGTGCGCACAACTAGATACTGCATATCCTGACTCATCGCCCAAGACTCACGCACACAGTCATGTTGGAATTGCCGACTTTGCTAAGAAGGCGCAATCGACCGCGTGAAGGGGATTGCTCTCGATCAGCTCCTGCTACGACGCATGAGACCCCGGCCGGGCTCATGCAGTCTTGCGTTCGATGCCAACCCTGCTGGGCTTCTGTATCCACACCCTCCACATGCTTCACACTCTCGATCCTCTCTCCGTTCTGCACTTACAAAAAGAGACGGACAACTGGGAACCCGACGCCGCGACTCTGGAGCCCAGGAGCCCGTCGAAGGGCACCGTTTCCTAAAATCTTTACAGGGGGCCTATCTCAGGCAAGCGCCGACTGGAGAAAAACGCGCGTGCCGTGCTCGTGACACGCACTCACACACACACACACACACACACACACTCTTTCGTCGGATGTCAGCCGGAGCGAGGCCCCCGCACCGGATGATCCAGACGCCGTACAGGGTCCGCGCAGCTCGGATCCGTCCTCGCGGCAGTGAGCTGTGAGACTCCCTCGAGCACGGCCCGACAGCCGATAGGGCATAGAAGCACAGTCGTGGCCAGCGGAGAGCGCGAGAGGCTCGAGGAAACACAAACAAGCAGCGATTGCTCATGGGAGGCAGAGGCCCGGAACGAGCAGACCGAGGGCTCTGAAGACGATCAAGTATTAGCGCAATGCGAAGTCGGCCTCCTCCTCCTCCTCCTCCTCCTCCTCCTCCTCCTCCTCCCTCTCGTGATCCTCTACTTCTTTGGCCTCACGCTTCGCGGTGCAGCGCAAGGGGTTGGGTCACCGCTTCGCGGATGCACTGGTCGGATCTCAGCTCCTGGTGCCTTGTGCCGAGCCGTGTGGGGGTCGTGTCGCCGCCTGGAGTCCGGGGCGGGAAAGCGAGTACCCGGCTTGCGGGCTCGTCCCGCGGCGTTGGCGGCCGCTGGCGGCTGCCTGTCACTTACCAGCCTGGAACATGTCCCTATCCCTATGTTGGGCATCGCCTCATCACGATGGCGATCTTAGGGATTTCCCCAGTTTCTGAGGGTGTATCCCTGGGTTTTCCTAAGTTTCTGAGATTGTCATCTCCTTTTAGCGCGTCAATCTTAGGGATAGGGATACGTTCGAGGCTGGTGAGTCACACCCCTGTCCCTCCCGCCCTGTGCGGGGCCGTTTCCGCCAAGTGGCGCCGGCGCTGGGCCCCGAGAATTGGTTCAATCGCGCGCCCCAGCGCCAGCAGCGCCTCGAGTTACGCGCCCTTGGCAGGCGCGGTCGGTCACTCGGAGGCTGCGCAGAATCCTCCCGCCTCTTCCTGCTCCGTCCCCGTCCTCGTCCCCCTTTCTCCACACATGGCTTCTCCTGCTCATCCTCACCTCCTCCCCTCCCTCCACCTGCTCCGCATGCTCCTGCCCACCCTGCTAGTTCTGCAGCTCTTCCACCTCGCCCCCCTCCCCCAGGAGCGAAGAGCTATGGGGGCGGACTGGCACGCTGAAGCGTGGTAAAATGTCAAATGCTGTCTCTTATGGTATAGATGCAATAATAAGCCCCCCCACGCCCCCACTCTCACGATAACGGAATGGTGCGTGCACCGCCCCCCTTCACAACGCCACAATCCCTCTAAACAAAAACTACGGATGGATGCGCGCTCCCAAAGTCACAATCCTTCGTAACAGCAACGTGTCTGCGCTTACGAGCTTCTTGGACGGCCGAGGCAAGCAACTATGTCATGTCCACCAAGATGCCCCCCCAGCTGCCTCCAAGACCGCCCACCATAGCCTAAAGGCGGCCCACGACGGCCTCAAGACGGCCAAAGACACCCCCAAGACGGCCACAAGAGGGCCCCAGTAGGGCCGAACAAAGACAACATCAACATCCGTCATTTGGTTATCCCCAAAGTTTGGATGGTTTCGCTTGTTCGGGCGACCTGCAGCTCCAGACGGCCCGCGAGGCCTCCAAGGTGGCCCCACGACGGCCCAAGAGAGTCCCCAAATGGTGAAGACGGGGCCATCAGGCTGCGAGGGTTAAGCTTGCTGCTCCCTGCACCAGTTCAGGCTTCCAGTTTCCGTTGTTACAGTACTGCTTTCTGCTTCCTACTGTAAATTGTAACTGTCCGCGCGAGGGGGGGGGGCCGAAAACTACTCTGGTTAGCGTCCCCCGGGAGAGTTCTCAGAATTCCTGGGGGGATAGAAATTTACACCCCTCACGCATATCGGCGGGGTCAGGGTCCAAAAACACATGGGATTTGCCACATTTCTGACATTCGGTGGCACCCCTCACGCAAGTCGGCGGGGTCAGGGACCAAAAACACAACGGATTTGCCACATTTCTGAAATTCCTGACACCCCTCATTCAGATCGGCGGGGTCAGGGTCCAAAAACACATGGGATTTGCTACATTTCTGAAATCCGGTGACACCCCTCACGCAGATCGGCGGGGTCAGGATCCAAAAACACAAAGGATTTGCCGCATTTCCAAAATTCGGTGGCACCCCTCACGCAGATCGGCGGGGTCAGGGTCCAAAAACACATGGGATTTGCAGCATGTTTTAAATTCGGTGGCACCCCTCACGCAGATCGGCGGGGTCAGGGTCCAAAAACACAACGGATTTGCTACACTTCTGAAATTCCCTGACACCCCTCACGCAGATCCGCGGGGTCAGGGTCCCAAAACACAAGGGATTTGCCAATTCTTGAAATTTCCTGACACCTCTCATGCAGATCGGCGGGGTCAGGGTCCAAAAACACACCGGATTTGCTACATTTCTGAAATTCGGTGGCACCCCTCACGCAGATCGGCGGGGTCCGGGTCCAAAAACACAGGAGATTTGAAACATTTCTGAAATGCGGTGGCACCCCTCACGCAGATCCGTGAGGTCAGGGTCCAAAAACACAAGGGATTTGCCACATGTCTGAAATTCGGCGGCACCCCTCACGCAGATCGGTCGAAAAACAAGTAGGTCCCGACACTGCTTCACGGCAAAGCCAAAGCCTCATGACTTTGCTCTTCCATGGCCCATTCTCCGAGAGCGGGGGGCGGCGGCAGGGGGCGAAGCCCTTACGGATAATCCCCCAGGGCACCTCAAGACTGTCCAACAGAGCCCCTAGACGAGACAGCTCAAGAGGGCCACATCAGGACCTCCAGTAGGGCCCGAATAAGCCAAAGTCAACAATTCTCGTGTGGTGGTCCGAAACCTTCGACATCTCCACCTTGTCGGGCTTCCTGCAGCTTCAGACGGCCCTCGTGGCCTCCATGATGGCCCTAAGACGGCCCAAGAAAGCTCCGAAACGAGCAACTAATCATACAAGACGGCATCAAGATAGCCCAAGAGAGCCACGACGGCCCCGGACGGCCCCATCGACGGCCCCACGACGACCCCAAGAGACCCCATCCTGGACGACCGAGATGTCTCCAAGACAGACCAAGAGAAGCCTGCGGCCCAGTGGAGCCACGACGCGGAAGCTTGTGCCACATGTTACGGCTCCCCCGAGCCTCGGGACACGAGGTGCGACCTGCCACGGCCTCCCGCGCGCCCCCCGAGGAGTCGCCTATGCTGGGCTGTCGAGGCCGCGGGCGGGACGCCCCGCGGGCAGCTGGACAGAGACAGGACAAGGAGGAGAGGGCAGGAAGGTAAAGCCAGGGAGGGCGAGGGGAGCGACAACTGTTATGTCGGGCGTGTCCCCCTACAGGGGGATTTTCTACGGAAAATAAGAAATACCCAAAAAATACCCCAATAAGGTCAAAAATACTCCAAAAATAGTCCCCAGACTATTTTTAGACTATGTTTTGACTATTTTTGGTGTATTTCTTATTTGTCGTCGAAAGGGGGACAGGCCCGACTTAAGACAACTGCGCAGGACAAGGGGTACCGAAGTGCAAGAGCAGCAGCAGGCGGCTCCTCGCTCAGGTGCGAGGAGGACACCTGCCGGCCGAACCCGGCGTCGAGCCCGCCAATCTGCTCGGGTGAGGCAACTGCGCGGGGCACGGGCGCGCAATGTCTCGAGGGACCCCCTCCTCCTCCTCCTCCTCCTCATCCTCCTCCTCCTAATATTCTTCTTCTTCTTCTTCTTCTTCTTGTTCTTCTTCTTCTTCTTCTTCGTCCTCCTCCTCCTCCTCCTCCTCCTCCTCCTCCTCATCATCATCATCATCATCATCATCATCATCAGCAGCATCCACCATCATCATCATCATCTTCCTCCTCCTCCTCCTCCTCACCATCATCATCAGCATCATTATCATCATCGTCTGCATCATCATCTGCATCATCATCTGCATCATCATCATCATCAGCAGCATCATCATCAGCATCATCATCATCAGCAGCATCATCACCAGCATCACCAGCATCATCAGCAGCATCATCATCAGCATCAGCATCAGCATCATCATCATCATCATCATCATCATCAACTGCATCATCATCAACATCAGCAGCAGCATCATCAGCATCATCATCATCAGCAGCATCAGCATCAGCATCATCATCAGCATCCTCGTGCCGCATTCCTCCACCTCCTCTTTTTCCGCCTCCTCCTCCTCCTCCTTCTGTCTGTTTCCTCCGCCTCCTCATCCTCGTTCTCCTCCTTCTCATCCTTAGGAAAAGGGAAATGAATTGAACCAACGACTGGGCGAAGGGCAAGGTTTATTTCATCAGTTGTCCGAAAGTTTGCAGCACGCTGCAATCAGCGAAACAAGGATGTTGCAAATCTACACCAGCTGCGTGTTGAGCAAGGTCATATGTTCCCTGGACTTCTTGTGGCTGCTAAAAACTGATGGATCAAGGCTGGACGCCTGTGATTGCCAGTGTTTGCGAAACGTATTGGGCGCACCTCATTCTTACTTGCTCGAGAGTGTTGAATGCTACCGTGCTGACTCGTGCAGGTGGTCACCAAGGCAAGCTATATTCGGCGGTGGGCAAACCTCTCCTTAGCAAACCACCCTTTAATGAAAACGGCCTGGGACTGAAACCGACGGACCTGGACCCGCAAAACTGACGGCCGCGACGCGCTCTCGCGAACCGAAAACGGCCAAGTCACTAATCGACGTGTCAGGGTAGGAGGTCAGTCCACCCCCGATCTCTCTCTCTCTCTCTCTCTCTCTCTCTCTCTAGATATATAGAATAGAATAGATATATACATATAGAAACAATACTTTGCAAGCAGACGACTGGCTTGGTGAAGCGGGTGCTGTGCAACGCGAATGGCACGTCCACGGATCGGGCTCTCCGCTGGCGCAGGGGGGAGACCCAGGCAGCAATGCGCACACAAGCATGATCCTGTGAAACTATGAAGCTGTCTGTTTGCACACCTTTTCTCACACCTAGGGAACCGATTTCTATACACCGACACTTTTCCGGCCCCGCAATGAAGCTTGCGCAGGAAAACGGATCCTGGTGTATACAGGATACTGGTGTATACATTCTTCGCGGTTCGCAGGAAAACCAAACGAAAAAATATACACCACACCGCCCCGACGTCGTCACCGACCCTCAAACAGCTCTGGGATTGAAACCATCCCACCACTGGTAATGTATATGCTCAAATTTCCGACACACCCTCTCCTCCCCCTCCGCAAACAGGCGCCAGCTGCGGTTCCGGCAAAGTGTTCCTTGCGCTCTCTGCCCGCGCGTCCTTCACGGATGCACGGCTGTCTTGTCTTGCCGTGTTTCCTCCTCCCTCCTCCTCCTCCTCCTCCTCCTCCTCCTCCTCCTCCTCCTCCTTCTCCGCCTCCTCCTCCTCCTCTTCCTCCTCCTCCTCCTCTTCCTTTTCCTCCTACTACCCCTAAGATAGCCTCCGACAAACCTCCAAGAGAACCCAAGACAGCCTGAATAAGGTCCAAGACAGGTGAGCAGGGCTCAGGATAGCCTCCGACAACCTCTAGCCGAGCATGGTTTTGTCTAGCCTCCGAGAGGCCTCAACAATACCTGCGATCGTGTCTGGATGGGCTGGTGGGGATACTTTGTGTCGCAGCCGCAAGCGAAAGCGCAGGCGGCGTCAAGGGTGTCGAGCGGGCTACGCGCGGACCTAATTGCAGATCGCCGACTTACCGGCGGCCTAAGCAGCACCTAAGCTGATCGGGCAGCGCGAGGGGGTGCGGGCTGCAGCTGCCAGGAACCAGGCCGAGGAGCGAACGCATGCATAATTAGCCAACCGAGGTTGGAGCTTAGCCAGTGGCGCGGGGGCGGTACCAGGATGTGGGCAGGGGCATCGTCACTGGGAACGCTGACACCAGCTGGGCCAGGAAGAACTCACTGGCCATGGAGCTAGTGCATGGAAGCGGCGCCACCAAAGTCGCACACAACGACTCCTGAAAAGAGTACTGATCCGGACACTTGTCGTCAAACCGTGCACAGAGTGAACCCGACGGCAAAGCGGAGTAGCCAAGGAAACGATGGATCTGATCAACACCGAAACAGAACCTGAGCCAACGGATCAAAAGAAACGCTGGTGGGGATACTTTTTGTTTTGGCTCGCGGCTCCCAGGCGAAGGACTTGAAGCAGGTCAACGTCCGGGAGGCGAGCGAAGATAATTGGCCGCAGTGGTGTGTGCGCATGCCAGGGACAAAATGACCCTCATTAGACGCCAGCAGCGTCGGCAGGTGACCAGCACAGACATCCCAGCAGGTGGGGACGCCAGGGCGCGGCGACCGGCGGCGGAACGGGGGGGAGAAGTCGCACTTTCGGCGCCAAGCTCCAGCCGAACCACCAACGGGGGCGGGGCCAAAACGGACGGCGCGGCACAGAAAGAGGATCCGAATCGCCACTGGCCAAGCGAAGCCACCGAGCGTGCACACTGATACGGGCTGCCCAAGGCCACCGGAGGGGGGGGGAGGAGGGAGCAAAAGCGAGCGACAACCGAAGGCTCACTGCAGCACAACGAGTGGTGATGTTGCGGCAAAAACGGGGGCCTGGCTCACATGGCTCACTGATGCAGAGAGTAGCTGAAACCAGTCAGTGCGCCATCCAGTAGAGGAAGACCACTGGTGCGCGCACACGAGGCTGAGCCACCTCCAGCCGGTAGCCAGTGCGTGCACATCGTATCCGACTCTCGCGGTTCGGGGGCAAAACGATGCAAAGTACTGACGGGGGCTGATAGCAGACTGTTCTGCTAGGGGGGGCAGATCGCAGACTGTTCTGGAGGATGTGGGCAGGGGCATCATCACTGGGAACGCTGACACCAGCTGGGCCAGGAAGAACTCACTGGCCAATGGAAGTGGCGCCACCAAAGTCGCACACAACGACCCCTGAAGGGAGTACTGATCCGGACACTTGTCGTCAAACCGTGCACAGAGTGAACCCGACGGCAAAGCGGAGTAGCCAAGGAAACGATGGATCTGATCAACACCGACACAGAACCTGAGCCAACGGATCAAAAGAAAACGCTGGTGGGGATACGCGAAGCGTCAATGATTCGTTCAACGGCACCACACATGCCCGCCCCTTCTACCTAATGTATACTCATCAACTCGTTCAAACTATGCCACAATCCGTGATGGTGCTGGCGTCGTACCACGTCCGAAAATGACCCGAACACCAAAGCTCCTCCTGAGCCAAAAAATGGCATTGCCTAGGCGCCTTGGCTACAGGTGTGTTCACAGTGAGTTGACGGCACTGCACGGTGGACGATGACGGCGATCTCCACCACGCTGGCCTGACCAAGCCAACCCGCCCGATCGATTAGTAATCCGACCCGCGAATGGCCGCGGGTCTGAATTCATCTACGACGACGACGACGACGACGACGCCGACGCCGACGACGACGACGACGACGACGACTGATCGCGCAGAGGAACCGAGCAGGGCGAACATGTACGGATATCGCTGCTGCTCGGACCTCTCATGGGGTGCGTTCCGACCAGGACCTCGCGGCAGATCTGGCCGCGGCGACGCGTGGGTGTGCAGCGGCATCGGCGTCTCTTACTGCTCTGACCCCACGCTCTCCTTCCCCCACGCGGTCCGCCCTTCTTGGAAGCTGCCCAGATGGGGTCGGAGGATCACTCCGCCTCGCCGATGCAGCGGCCATGCACAGGTGACGTCGGCATGGAGAAGCGCTCCATGCTCCGAATCGGGCCACATCGCCAATGCATCCGCGATCCTCCAGCCCCATCTGCTCCGACTCCATTTAGGGAAGCATGGACTTCGCCTCACATGGCCACTGGTGGGCGGGGTGGGGGGGCGCTGGGGCAGCGGCGCGCAGCGAGCAAGCGCGGGGGCGCCTGCGACACCTGGGCCGACGACCTCGCCGACGCCGACCTCTGGGGCGGCAGGGACGAGATCAGGGACGGCGAGATGCGGCATTCCTCCCCATGGGGGGGAAGAAGAAACGGGCACAGCCGGGGATGACTGCAGATGACGCACGATGACGCTCGAGAGGACGCGAGTCTCCTCCTCCGAGGCCGAGCATTGCTCCAGACATGGAACAGGGCGCGTTTCACGGGCGCCTGGGTGAGAAACATCCCCTGACACCCAACATTCCCAGCACCCTGCGAATCTGAAGCCCCGCCTCCCCATCCCCCCGCGAAGGAGGGGGGGGCAAAACCCCCCCCACCCACCCACCCCACGTGCACACGGGGAGGCCGACGCCCCGCGCTGGCAACCGACGACAACGACGACGACGACGGCAACGGCAGACGACGACGACGGCGGCGGGCGGGTGGTCGGCGTCGTGGCAGAACGCGCTCTCTCAGACACGGAGAGGGCATGGAGCGCGGCAGACAGGACGCAAGAGCACCCCGAATCCCACCAGCCCTTTAGGGCGTCGGTGGTTTAGGGTGTTTCCTCTTCCACCCCCTTTCTTCCCCTTCAGGGCGGGGTTTACCCCTCTCACTCCCCCCTCCCCTGGACCTGGACGGGCGTGTCGCGAGTCGTCGGAGCGTCCGAAACGGCCTCGGCGAGGAAGCCAACATCATTGGTTTTACTGCGGTGTTGGCCCCATGTTGGCCTCTTGGGGGGGGGAACGCTAATTGAGGGACCCCCCTTCTTCGATCGATCTCCTCCGAGATGGCCCCAAGAGCGCTCCCAAGGCTCCCAAGGGTGCCCCAAGAAGGCCCCAAGAGGTGACCAGGAGTCCCCAAGAGGCCCCTAAGAAACCCCCAGGATGCCCCCAAGAGGCTCCCAAGAAGCCCCCAAGAGGCCCCAAGAGGCCCCCAGAGGCACCCAAGACGCTCCAAGAGGCCTCGGCGACAATGCCAAAATCATTAATGTTTGGCCACATGTTGGCCTCCTGGGGGGGGCTGGCACTGCTTAAGATGACTCCAAGAGCGCCTGGGAGAGCCCAAGATGACCCAAGATGGCTCAAGATGTCCCAAGATGCCTCAAGATGGCTCCCACGATGCTCCAGGAGGCCCCAAGACCGCTCCAAGACGGCTCCAAGTGGTCAAAGAGCTCCCCCAGGAGGCCCCGAAAATGCCAAAATCCTGCCAAAACCTTGGGAAAATCAATATGTTTGGCATTCTCGCCTTTTCGCTTCCGATGGCCATCCGAGGCCTCAAGATGGCTCCAAGATGGCCCAAGAGGGCTCCAAGAGCGCTCCCAAGGCTCCCAAGAGCGCTTCAAGAGGGCCCCAAGAGGCGCCCAGGAGGCCCCAGGAGGCCCCAACAGGCGCCCAAGAGGCTCCCAATAGACTCCCAAGAGGCCCAGAGAAGCTCTCGGAGGCACCCAAGACGCTCTAAGAGGCGTCTGGGACCGCCAAAAAGGCCCCAAGACGCTCCAAGAGGCTTCCACTGGGGGACCCTTCCTCTGTGCGCTGCCCACTTTCCTGATCGAGGCAATTCCTCTGGGCATCGTTTCTGGATGGGCTGGTGAGATTACGCGAAGGGGCGACCTGCGAAACGAAGCAGGACCGGTACCACGCTCGCTCCACGAGCGTCCGCCACAACACGTGCATCGACCTCGCTGGGCGGAGCCTCACTCGATCACGCGATCCCCGTGGACCTGGCTGCGTGCCCGAGGACCCCTCCCGGGCGGCGTCCCCGGAGGCCTCCGAGACGAGGCCGGAGTGGATGAGGTCGGAGCACGTCGGACCCCCGATCGCGCCGCCTCGCCGATGCATCGGGGATGCGGCACGAGCTTCTGGGCCCACATGCGAACCCTACCCTCCTCCTCAGAAATCGTGTGGGGGGGGGGGGTAGGGTTCGCATGTGGGCCCCTAACGAGCTTCCGAGCCCACGTGGTAGGCCTGGAGAGCCCGGACGCACGGACGGGAGGCGGAGGCGCGCCTCCGCCGCAGGGGCGGCCGCCCGAGAGGAGCAGAGCAGGACGTGCCCGCGCGGGGACGGCGAGCGAGCTCTCGGGCGCCAGCGCGGGCCTCGCTGATTTCGGCGGTGGACAAACCACCCTTCAATAAACCTCCCCTGAATGAAAACGGCCCGGGACCGAATTCGACGGACCTGGCCCCGCAAAAACGACGGCCGCGACGCCCTCTCGCGAACCGAAAGCGGCCAATTCCTTAATCGACGTGTCAGGGTAGGAGGTCTGTCCACCTCCGATGATTGTGCTGCGCGGGAACAGGGCGGAGGACAGCTGCGCCCCAGTGGCAGACGAGCGCGCTCCACTGCTCGCAGGGTGACTGCTTCGCACACGGCCTGCCTCCGGCGCAGGGGCTCTACGAAAACGGGTCTCGTCGAAGCAAACGCATGGCTCTTTGCGAGCAGCCTCTTCGCGAGTGGCGTAACGCGCTCGTGGAACTGGGCAGCCCGCGGAGGGCCCCTCCGCGCCCCCGCACGGAACAGAGACGTCTCGAGGCGCCCGGAGCTGCCCAGAGAGGCACCCGGGGAGCGCGGCCCCTCGAGAGACCCTGCGACCTCGCCGACCCCGACCAGGAAGCCCTGCATGCCGGGCACACCGTCCAGCATGGCGGCGTCCTCCTCCTCGGGCGGGCCCTCGCCATCGCTCGGACGTCCATTCCTCATGTATTTTTCGATTTCGTGCGTATTTTTTTTCGCCAGATGATCAAGGATGCTCCTCGATGGCCGTCGCCGAGAAAAAATGCACACGTCCGAGCGATGCCAAGGGCCAGCGGCACGGGCGCGGAGTGCGGGCCCGCTGGGGGGCAGCGGAACGAGACGTGAGATCCTGTGCCTAGACGGCCCTGCGGCCGTGGTCACCATCGGCGGTGACCAACAGCTTGGCAAGGATGTCACGCACGGAACGAAAACATGCAAAGGCGATCTCCCTTGGGGGTTGGCCACAGAGAGGCTCTGACCCTTCCAATCTCCAGCATCTCCGATTCCCCCCCAAAAAAGGTGACGGAATGACGACGACAAGGGAGAGGCTACATGTGTGAGATCAATGAGCCATGATAAGGATGATCATGTGTGGATGTGTGGAGAGCGAACATGAGCGCAGTAGGGCGAAAAGAGGGGCGAATGGATGAGTGGGTGAGTGGCCGGGGAGGCAGGGGAGGGCGGAGGTGGGGGCGGGAAGTGAAATTCAGGGGGCACGGCGGGAACATGGTCACAACGAACAATCACGTTCGCAAAAAAGGCGGGGAGAGGAGGGGGAGGGCAGAGGCAAGGAATAGAATTGGAGAGCGATAGTGGAAAAGGCATGATGGTCAGATGGAGAAATGGAGACAAAGGTGAACGAAGAAGTATGAGCGGAGAAGGGGAAAGGCATCTGGGAGATGTAAGCAATGTTGTCAGAACATGGGGGAAACACGGAGAGGCGGGCGAAGAGAGAGTGAGAGAGAGAGAGATATCAAGGCATAAAGACATAAGCATAAATATAGAAAGAGGGAGAGAACGCATGCATTTTTGCCAACCTCGTAAGTACGCATGCCTGCCTCTGACTTGACTTGATCGCTTGAAATACTTTGGCCGACTCCCTGACTGATTCAGGGGCGGACAGAGAACATAACTAAGATGGACATGTGTTACAAGTTTCGATTTCGCAGGCGAGCGGCTTACGCATGGGAGTACGGCGCGTGCGTGGGCGGAATACGCTGCTTCGACGATCGATTGATGCGTCCGCTGACGACTGCACACAAGCTCCGTACCTCCCCGAAGCTTCGTCCTGTTCGTTTGCATAATCTACGCACCGAAGATATACACACAGACACATCCGACAAACGTGGCATGCACTACCTTCAGGGAGGGCGGCGGTGTATAAAGTCGTTGGCTCCCAGTGGTGATTTCAACACCGCCAACTTCCCCTGAGGCCCGGGAGCGAGCCAGTAGAGGGTGGTTGTGTATATCCGCCGATCCGGCGTGTGAGTTTCTGAAAGGGCTTGAGCTCGCTCAAGCTTCGCTCTGACGGGGGGGGGACTTCATTCGACCTCACCCGACGCATTCAGTGCTCGGCACCCTCCCCCTCGACGCCGGCCCCCGGTGCTGGCACCCCTCCTCCCGCAGGCCCCCCCCCAGGTGCTCGCACCTGTGCTCGGCAACCCCCTGATGCACCCCCCCGATGCCGGCCCCCCTCCCCCCCCCCCGCCGCAGGCACCCCCCCCGGTGCCCGCACCTGTGCTCGGCAGCCCCTCCTCGAAGCCTCCCCCCCCGATGCCGGCATCCCTCCCCAGGCACCCTCCCGTCCCTGTAGGTTCCGACACTTCCCCCCCCCGCGCCAGCACCCGCCCCCGGTGTCGGCACCTGTCCCCCGGTGCTCGCACCTCCTCCTCCCGGTGCCGGCACCCCCCCCCCTGCAGTGGTGCCGGCACCCCCCCCTGGTGCCGGCACCCCCCCGGTGCCAGCGTGCCATCACCCCCCCCCCGGTGCTGGCTTCCCACCCTGCTGGCACCCGCACCCCCCCTCCCTCCAGGCCCCCCCCCCCCCCCCCCCCGATGCCCGCACCTGTGCTCGGCCCCCCCCGATACCAGCCCCCCCCCCCCGGTGCTGGCATCACCCCCTGTCCCCCGCATCCGGCACTTCCCCCCCCCCACCCCCGTGCCGGCACCCGCCCCGGTGCCGGCCCACCCCGCCGGTGCCGGCACCCCCCTTCCACTGCCGGCGTGCCAGCACCTCCCCCTGGTGCCGGCCTCCCGCCCTGCCGGCCTGCCGGCACCCCTCTCTGGTGCGGGCGCCCCCTCCCTCGTGGTGTCCACCCCACCCACCCCCGTCGTCGTCATCGTCCATTCCCACACGCATCAGGAGCGCCCCGGATCGGCGGCACTGGTCGGAGGCCACTACAACATACACGTACATGTATACAGGTCGGGCGCGCCCTGTACAGGCGGATGTTGGAAGGAATGCAGAAAATAGTCAAACAGATTCAAGCATCGTCAAGTAGAAATAATAAAAAATGGTTCCCCAGACTGTTGCTTGACCATTTCTGAATACTCCTCCTGCAGAAGGACACGCCCGACTTAAATGAATACATATATGTGTGTATATATGTATAAGTCAAGTCAAGTCACCCCGCTCGCACGAGGGCGGGCCCATATAGGGCGCGAGGGAAAAACAATTTACAGTGCAAGCGGGAAGCGGCGGGCGTGCTCACTCGCAGAAATCCAAGAAGTCCTCCGTCATATCTGCCCAGGCGGCGTCGTCTTGCGCGGTTCCTTGCCACGATCCAGTGTCATTTGTTCGGCAAAAAGCCACCAGCTTCTCATCCCACGACATGAGAGGACGACCCTGTGAGCGCGACCCAGGCGGTGTCCAGCGCAAGGCTCTCTGCACCCATCGTTCCGGCGGTAAATTCGCAACATAATATGCAAAATCCAAATATTTCTTCACGGATTCTCTCGACCACGTGCGAATGCAATGTTGGGTCAATGCTTGATTGAGCCGCTCGTGCCAGAGGTGTAAGATTTCATGCCAAGGCTGCGACCAGTCCACGCCGGCAGGCGGACCAACAACTTGCCGCAACAATCGCCTGAATTCCACGTCGACTAAATGCAGCGAATCCCTGTACGGCTTCCACACACAAGCCCCGAAGCACGTCACAGACGTTACGACGCGGCCGAAAAACTCGAGGCGGGCAGTAAGAGAAACATTCCGGTCGCACAATATGGGCCTGTTTGCAAAGAAAGCTTTGTTCGCGGATGCCAGATGATATTCCACGTCCAGATGGTGCGTTCCAGAACCACAATAAATATATAAATAAATCAAAAAATGAATAAATAGATAAATAATTCTATATATATATATATATATATATATATACTAGAAACATCGCGCGCTTCGCGCGCGCTCAGGTTCTCGCAGTCCCCACGCCTTGACGAATTCACTGCTGCTCCACTCGTGGGCCCTCTCGGGTCTCTCTTGGGCTGTGTTGGGGCTCCGCGGGGGCGTCTGGGGCACTGTGAAGACGAAGCCAGCGAGTATGCCCGAAACGCACGTTTTACAAAGGAAATGGGGCGATGTTTGCCTCTTGAAGGCCCTCTTGGGGCCCTCTTCGGCCATCTTCAAGCCGTCTCGGGCCCTCTGAGGCCTCGCTGAGGCTGTCCTGCGGCTCAGTTGGGGGCCCTGGGAGCCCAGAAGTAATGTTCCCAGAGAGGCTTCCGGGAACATGATTTCGAACGGGGCCCTCTTGGGCCTCCCTGGGACCGTCTTGGGGGCCTTCTGGGCCGGCTTCGGGGCCTCTTGGGCCGTCTTGGGGGGTTCCGTGAGCCCCACAGGCCGACCCTGTTGGGCCGTCGTGGGCCCTCTTGGATCTTTCTTGGGCTGTCTTGGGGCTCCGCGGGAGCGTCCGGGGCACTGTGAAGACGAAGCCAGCGAGTATGCCGAAAATGCACGCTTTACGATGGAAAAGGGCGGATTGTTGCCTCTTGAAGGCCCTCTTGGGGCCCTCACGGGCCCTCTTGGGTAGATTTTGGGCGTCTTCGGGGCCTCTTCAGGCTTTCGTGACCATCTATCTGTACGGCCCGCATGGCCTGTCGTGGGCAATTTGGAAGCGGCCCGGGGCAGTCCCGGGGGTCTGTGACCCCCCAAAGGTTCGAGGGGGCCCCCATGGGGGATGACGGCACCGATTTTGGCCCCGCCCCCCCAGCCTATATATATATATATATATATATATATATATATATATATATATATATATATATAGATGTGTGTGTATACACAAATGTATATATATATATATACATATACATATATATATATATATACACATATATATATATATACAAATACACATTACTGTGGCGGGCAATCCTTTCCTGCACCTCGTTGTCTTCGTCCATTCCGCCCTCATAATGGCGGCACGCACAAGGAGGCAGGGGGAGGTGAGAAGACTTCTTAGAAACAGGACAGTGCCAACCTTACCGTCGACAGAGAAGGTCTGCGCCTTCGGAGAAGCAGGGTGCTTCTAAGAAGCCTCCCCCCCTCCCCCTCCCCCCCGTGCGCGCGGCCTGTCAGAATCGTCATCCGTCTTTCTCGCTCCTATAATCCTGTCCTTCGTCCTTCTCCTCGAACCTTCATTTTTCTCACTCGCTCTCAGAACCCTTCGTCCTCCTCCCTAGCTCCCCGAACCTTCGTCCTTCTCACTCTCATAATCTCAGGTCGGGCATGTGCTCCTACAGGCGGATGTTGGAAGAAAAAGTAAGACTAGTCAAACAATGCACAGAGATAGCCAGACGATGGTTTTAAAAAAAGCGTCCCCATATTACTTGCTGCGCTAAGCCTTGAACGTTCCTCCTGTAGAGGGACACGCCCAGCTTAATCATAACCCTGTCCTGCACCTCGTAGCCCGGGTACATGTGGGCCCCGCCGTCCATGAACAGCGCCCCGGAGGCGAAGCTCATGTCCCAGGTGGCGCGCAGCTCCCGGGAGCCGTGCGCGAACTTGCAGCGCCTCCCCGGGAGGCAGCGAGGCAGGCCCTAAAATTACAGAAAGGCCCTCCAGTGAATGACGATAGTCGCCCGCCGTCGATGGCACCACGCATGTTTCGAGGGATGTTCGAAAGGGCTCCTCGATCGCTTCCTGTTGAATCAGCCGAGCTCTGCTGCCAGTGCGCCGTCTAGGCGCCCGGCTTCTCTGTCCGTCTCTGTCTGCCTGCCCCAGCACGGGACACGCTTCGAGGTGCTGCTCAGGAGACACGGAGAAACCAGGGATACCTCCCAGGGGGCATCGAGGCCAACCCTAAAATTACAGAAATGCCCATCACGGACACACTTCGAGGTGCTCCGCAGAAGACACGGAGAAACAGAGGATGCCTGCCAGCAGGCATCGAGGCCAACCCTGAAAGTACAGAACGGCCAGGCAAAACACACTTTGAAGAGCTACTCAGAAGACACGGGGAAGTAAGGGCAAGAGCCAGGAAACGAGGGAACGAGCGCAGAAGAAACCATCCGTGCGACGGATTATGGCAAGCCCATCGCCGAAGATATCGAGTGATGCTCATCAGGGCCTCTTGATCCGATCCCGGCGTATATTAGTATTTTGCGGGCTCTTTCCATGTCCTGTGCACCGGTCGCGTTCCCTCGTTCGGTGATGCGTAGGAGTCCGCCATAGGCCTAGGTATGATATGCGCTCGCTCCCTGGCTCGTTACGTTGTCCCGTCACTTCTCCACCATAGTGCCCCCCAGAACGTCGTGGCGTGGCAGATTGCCAAGTGCTGCCCGGTAGGGATTCTGTAATCTTCTCAGGGCCCTCTCTACTTTAACGGGCGAAGAACGGTATAAAATAAACTTTTTCGCTGTCGGGGGCGCCTGTCCCTGGGCGGCTGGAAAGTTTATACCCTTACGGTGGCACCGTAGGGGTATAAACTTTCCAGCCGCCCAGGGACAGGCGCCCCCGACAGCGAAAAAGTTTATGTTATACCGTTCTTCGCTCGCCGACTACTGGCGGACTGTCGCATGCATCGCCCCACCTCCAGAAGGCAGGACCCCTCGTCAGAGAACGGGTCCATACGCCAGGGTTTCCACGGGGGCCCCGGCAGGCAAGCCAGGCCGCCAAGAGAACCCAGCATGCCCCCGAGACGCCCCAAGGAGGAGGAGGAGGAGGAGGAGGAGGAGGAGGAGGAGGAGATGGCCCCAGGGCGGCCCAAAGATGGCCTCAAGACGGCCAGGCATGCCTCCAAGAGGGCCCAAAGAGGGCCACAGGAGGACTTCCAACAGGGTCCGAGGAAAGCAAGACCATCGACTGTCCTGCAAAAGGCCTGAATGGTTCCGCGTTCTCGCCCCTCCGGGCTTCCGTCAGCTCCAAGCGGCCCCTGCAGCCTCGAACATGGCCCCAGAACGGCCAAGGAGGCCCCCAAGAGGTTCCCAAGACGACCCAAGAGAACTCAAGACGGACCAAGAGGTCCCCAAGACGGTCCCAGGACGGCCTGAGAGGGCCTCTGGAAGAGGGCCTCTGGAGAGACCCGAGACGATCTGAAAGGCCCTTAGACGGTCCCAGGTGTAAAACCAGCAGCAAAGCTAGCAGCCGACAAGCATACACATCATTATTCCCTGGGCCTCCCCTTTTGGTCCAGGGCACGATCCTGGGTGCTAAGATGCATCGGCTTGGAACAGAAGTCCGTGGTCCAAAGGTGGGGTCCTGAGGGATGGGGTCCTGAGGACGAGGTGCCTCAAGCAATGCAAGTCCACCCTTGGATCCCTTCCTATCCTTAAGTCGGGCCTGTCCCCCTACAGGAGATCTTGGCAGAGAAATTAAAGATACCCAAGAAATACCCCCAGAACGCTAAGAAATAGTCCAAAAATGGTCCCCGGACTATTTGTTTGACTCTTTTTGAATATTCCCCCTGTAGAGGGCCAGGCCCGACTTAATCCTATCCTCAGGACCCCATCCCTCAAGCCCCCTATCTTTGAACCAGCGAAGAAGGTGACCGCGCGCCTCCTTCCCCTCCGGCGGCCGCAGCCGCCACGCAGCGGGCCCCTGCGGCAGCCCAGGCCTCCTGGAGGCCCACGAGAGCGAGTGCGAGGGCCCAAAAGAGCCAAACATTTAAGTCGGGCGTGTCCCCCTACAGGGGGATGTTCGACGAAAAATAAAAAATACTCCAAAAATAATCCCAAATGGTCAAAAATATTCCAAACATGGTCCCGAGACCTTTTTGTTCCCCCGATGTTTGCCCACTTAACCCAACATGCCGAAGAAGCCCACAGTTGCTGGTGGGTCCTTCGCACCAGGACGGCGCCAAGACGGCTCCCCCACGGCCCCAAAACACCCCCTCAAACGGCCAAGAGGGCCCCAAGACGGCCCAAGGGGGCTCCAAACCGGCCCCAAGGGACCCCCAAGACTGCCCCAGAGGAGCCCAGGAAGACCCAAATGAGCCCCACAGTGCTCCTCAAGAAGTGAAGAAGAAAGGCGACGCATAAAACGGCCTTCCTCTTCCTCCTCCTCCTCCTCCTCTTCCTCCTCCTCCTCATGCTCATCCTCCTCCTCATCATTATCTTCATCATCATCCTAACTCCGCCCCAGCCTCATCATCATCATCATCATCATCATCATCATCATCATCATCATCATCATCATCATCATCATCATCATGTTCATCCTCATCATCATCATCATCATCATCATCATCATCGTCACCCTCATCATCATCAACAGCAGCATCATCATAAGCAGCAGCAGCATCAGCATCAGTATCAGCATCAGCATCTTCATTAGCATCAGCATCAGCAGCAACATCAGCATCAGCATCAGCATCATCACCACCGCCACCATCATCATCATCAGCATCATCGTCAGCATCAGCATCAGCATCAGCATCAGCAGCATCAGCATCAGCATCAGCACCAGCAGCAGCATCGTCATCAGCATCACCATCACCGCCACCACCATCATCATCATCATCATCATCATCAGCATCACCACCAGCAGCATCATCGTAATCATCATCATCATCAGCATCAGCATGATCATCATCATCATCATCATCATCATCATGAAGAACAGCATCAGCATCAACAACATGATCATCATAATCATGAACAGCATCACCATCACCATCATCATCGCAATCAGCAGCATCATAATGCTCATCGAAACCATCAGCACGATCACACTAATCAGCACGATCATAATAATCATCATCGCCACAATCACCATCAGCATCTACAGCATCAGCATCGGCATCAGCATCATCGTCAGCATCAGCATCATCATCAGCATCATCACCAGCATCATCATCATCATCATCATCATCATCAGCATCAGCATCAGCATCAGCATCAGCATCAGCATCAGCATCAGCATCATCATCATCATCATCATCATCATCATCATCATCATCATCATCATCATCATCATCATCATCATCATCATCATCATCATCATCATCATTGGAAGTCCCACCAGCCCTCTGGGCTTAGGTGGTATAACGCGGTTGTTCTTCTCTCTTCCACTGAAACCCATACCCCCTCCCCTGGGCCAGGAAGGGGGGGGGCACCGAGGCGTTAGAGCGTCCAAGATGGCCCAATATTGCTCCAAGAGGGCTTCGAAGTCGCAAGATGGCCTCCAAGATGGCCCATGCTACTTTAAGATGGGTGAAGATAGCCTCCGACATACCCCGAAGAGGCCCCAAGACAGCCCCAAGGCGGATCCAAGTGCCCTTCGAGCCCTCCACGGCGCCCTCCAAGATGCCAAAACCGTTCAAAAGCCAAGGGAAAATCAATGTGTTTGGCATTATCGCCTTTTCGCTTCCGATGGGCTTTTGAAGCCTCAAGATGGCCCCAAGATGGCCCAAAAAAGGCCCAAGAGGGGCCCAAGAAGGCCGACGACGGCCCCAAGATCGCCCAAGAGGCGCCCAAGAGCGCTCCAAGAGGGCCCCAAGATGCCGGTTGAGAGCCTCCGAGTGGAGGGGGGCCGAAATTCTCCCCCCCCTCTTTTTGAGCCATGGTGCCCAAGACGGCCCCAAGAGGCCTCCCAGACCCACAAAAGAGCCCCAAGAGGGCTCCAAGACTCCCCCAAAAGATCCTCAAGAGGGCCCCAAGATAGCCGAGCATGGCTCAAGATAACCGCGGGCAGCCTCTAGCCGAGCATGGCTCAAGATAGCCTCCAAAGAGGCCTCAAGAAAGCTGGCAATCAATGTTGGATGGGCTGGTGGGGATACTTTTTTTTACGGCCGCAGGCGGAAGCGCCAGCGGCAGGCGGTCACGGTCGGGCTGCGGCCGCGACGAGGGGGCGGGCGCGCGCGGGGCCGCGGTCAGGCGGCGAGCAGCGACAACCCAGGGCGTCTGAGGAGCCAAGGCGTGCAAATCCAGGGAGTCTGCCAGGCAGCCCCTGAATTGAACATGCAACGGCACATCCAGGGAGTCTGAGAGGTCAGCCACCGAGGAGAGCCGAGCGCAGCCAAAATGGCGCGCTAGGCGTTCCCACTGTGAACGAAACGGACGAACAGAGGAAGGGAACGATTTCGGTGCGGGACGTCAATCCAGGGAGTCTGACGAGTATGGGCAGACTGAGCTGGTGGGAATACGCGAAGCGTCAAGAATTAATGATAAATTAAAAGAAGAATCTTAACACGGGCGGGTTCTGGGGTCCGCGGATCCGATTTCCTCCGGTGCCCCGTTATTTAATACTATAAGTTCAAAAAAGGGGTTAACATCGAATCCGCCGTTAAACAATTACTCCGATGGTAGGACCCCACATGAGAATATGTGTAGCTTGCCTGGGGATCTCCTAATGCCCCCTCGCTTCTCCCACCTACTCCTGCCTCCTCCTTTTCCTCCTGCCTCCTCCTCCTCCTGCCTCTCCGCCTCCCCCTCCTCCTGCCTCCTCCTTATGCTTCCTGCCTCCTCCTGGGGACTCTTGGGGCCAGTCGGGGCCTTCTGGAGCCTTCTACGCCTCCCGGTACATCCTGGGACCTCCTAGGGCACTCCTCTTCCTCCATGTCCTCCTCGTCCTTCTCGCCCTCTGCTTCCTCCTTTTCCTCCTCCTCCTCCTCATCCTCCTCCTCCTCCTCCTCCTGCTTCTCTTTCTCGTCCTGCATCCTCCGTCCTCCTCCTCTTGCCTCCTCGTACGGAACACGACCCAGAAGAAACGCACGACGTGCGTCCCGGCGGATACGCGCCGGAGGACGACCCAAAGGAAGCGCGCGCCGGAGAACGACCCGGAGGAAACACGAGAGGTGCGGGCCCCATAGGGACGGGGGCTCCCGCCTGAACCTTCCTCACAGTTCACTCACGAGGCTCCCGCATGTTACTTCCCCTATATTCTGGCCTCAGGAGCCAAAGAGTGAGGGCAGTTACAGGTTCGAGGATGACCCTCCCGGATTGCCAACATGAAGTGCGGGCCCCATAGGGAGGGGGCTCCCGCCTGAGACCTCCTCACAGTTCACTCACAGACGAGGCTCCCGCCTGATACTTCCCCTGCATTCTGGCCTCAGGAGTCCAAACGTGACGACAAACACATGTTCGAGAATGACCCGCTCGGATTAGAAACGTGAAGTGCGGGCCCCATACTGACGGGGGTTCCCGACTGAGACTTCCTCACAGTTCACTCACAGACGAGGATCCCGCCTGATACTTCCCCTATATTCTGGCATCAGTGACAACAGTTAAAAGTTCGAGGATGACCCGCTCAGATTACCAACATGAAATGCGGGCCCCAAAAGGAGGGGGCTCCCGCCTGAGACTTCCTCACAGTTCACTCACAGACGAGGCTCCCGACTGATACTTCCCCTATATTCTGGCCTCAGGAGCCCAAAAGCGATGACAGTTACAGGTTCGAGAATGACCCGCTCGGATTACCAACATGAAATGCGGGCCCCAAAGGGAGGGGGCTCCCGCCTGAGACTTCCTCACAGTTCACTCACAGACGAGGCTCCCGACTGATACTTCCCCTATATTCTAGCCTCAGGAGCCCAAAAGTGACGACAGTTACAGGATCTGGATGAGACGCTCGGATTTATAACATGATCTGCGGGCCCCATAGGTAAGGGGCTCCCGCCTGAGACTTCCTCACGGTTCTCTCACAGACGAGGCTCCCGCCGGATACTCCCCAAATTCTGGCCTCAGGAGCCCCAAACGGATGACAGTTACAAGATCTGGATGACCCGCTCGGATGAATTATAGGATCTGCGGGCCACATAGGGAGGGGGCTGCCGCCTGATACTTCCTCGCAATTCACTCACAAACGAGGCTCCCGCCTGATACTTTCTCCATATTCAAGACTCAAGAGCCCAAAAGTGACGACAGTTACAGGATCTGGATGACCCGCTCGGATTAATAACATGATCTGCGGGCCCCATAGAGAGGGGGCTCCCGCCTGAGACTTCCTCACAGTTCACTCACAGACGAGGTTCCCGCCGGATACTTCCCCAAAATTCAGGCCTCAAAAGCCTAAAAGTGACGACACTTACAAGTTCGAGGATGACCCGCTCGGATTACCAACAGAAATAAAATGTGGGCCTTATAAGCACGGGGGCTCCCGCCTGAGACTTCCGCACAGTTCCCTCACAGACGAGGCTCCCGCTTGATACTTCCCCCATATTCTGGCCTCAGGAGCCCGAAACTGACGACAATTACATGTTCGAGGATGACCCGCTCGGATTACCAACATGAAGTGTGGGCCCCAAAGGGAGGGGGCTCCCGCCTGAGACTTCCTCACAGTTCACTCACAGACGAGGCTCCACTTCCCCCATATTATTCTGGCCTCAGGAGCCCAAAAGTGACGACAATTACAGGATCTGGATGACCCGCTCGGATTTATAACATGATCTGCGGGCCTCATAGGCTCCCGTCTGAGACCTTCCTCACAGTTCACTCCCACACGAGGCTGCCGCCTGATACTTCCTCAAGTGTGGGTGTGTGAGTGAGTGAGTGAGTGCGTGAGTGAGTGAGTGAGTGGGTGAATGATGATTATGATGATGACGATTATGATGATGATGATGATGATGATGCTGCTGATGATGATGATGCTGATGATCATGATGATGATGATGATGATGATGATGATGATGATGATGATGATGATGATGATGATGGTGATGATGATGATGATGATGATGATGATGGTGACGATGAGGAAGAGGAGGAGGAGGACGAGGACGAGGAGGGGGAGTGTGATGATGATGAGTGAGTGAGAGTGTGAGTGAGGAGGTGCTGGGTGATGAGGAGGAAAGAGAGGGGGTGAGGGGTGAAACTTCCTGCGCGGGGTGTCCAGAGAAAACAAGAACCCCACTTTGGATGTGGGGAATAATACAGAACACGGGGCCAGCAAATCCGAAATCGGATCCGCGCGAAATCCGCGCAATCCGAAATCGGACCAGGCGGTGGATATGGTTTAAATTCTCGCCTCGGAATATTGAAAAGCACCCGCCCTCCATGCGTGAAACTCCGTCGAACTTTTGAGACAACTGTGCACGGCGCCAGAGCGAGAGACACATTTCGAAAAAGGGCACGCCCTTTGTGGGCCCCGGAAACGGCAGGGCCGTTTTTTCACCGTTTCCCCAAAAATGTCCCTTGAAAATGGAAGCGGCAAAAAAACGGCGACGGGAAACGGCAAAGAAACGGCTCGAAGATTAGAACCGGAGCCGGAACCGGTCAAAACATTTTTTTACCGGCGTCGGAACCGGCAAAGAAACGGCAAAGCGGAACCAGTAAAAAAACGGCCCTGTCGTTTCCAGGGCCCCCTAAGGGCACGCCCTCCATCCGTGAGACTCCGGCAGACTTCTCAGACGAGTGTGCCCGGCGCGAAGGGCGAGAGCCGCAGTCTGAAAAGGGCGCGGCGCTCCGCAGTGAAAGCCTTGTAAACGTTGAAGACACATCTGCGCGGCAATGAGGCGAGAGCCGCATTTTGAGAAGGACCCGCCATCCCTTCGGGAAGCCCTCGCTCACTTTTCAGAAGAATGTGCGCGGCGATGCGGCGAGAAACGCATTTCTCCGCGAAACTTTCAAGAAGGATGTGCGCGGCACTGAAGCGAGAACTGCCTTTGGAAACCACCCGTCCTCATCCGCGACAGGCTTCTGAAACATGTAATACGCATGTGCGGGGCGCTAGGGCGAGAGCCACATTCTGAAAATGGCCCGCCCTCCATCCGTGAAACTCGTGCGACAATTTGTTACGACGAATGGAAGAAAAGAGCCCTCCATTCATCAACCCGTTCAAACAAAATAAGGCAAATGCGCGCGGCGCTAAGGCGAGACCCACATGATAAGAAGGACACGACTTCCACCAGTGAATCTCTTGCCAACGTTACAAACGCATGTGCGCGGCGCTAGCCAGTTTGAAATGGACCCGCCCTCCATATGTGAAGCTCTGGCCAACTTTCAAGACGAACGTCCGCGGCGTTGCGGCAAGAACCACATTTTGAAAAAGAACACGCCTTCATCAGTAAAGCTCGTGCAAACATTCAAAGCGATTGTGCCCGGCTCTAAGGCGAGAACAACATTCTGAAACTCATGGGGCCCGCCCTCCATCCGTGAAACCTTTCCATACTTCTAAGGCGAATGTGCGCGGCGCTACGGGGGAGCCACGTTCTGAAAAGAAACTGCCCTCCATCCAGGAAGCTCTTGCAAACTTTTGAAACGAAGGTGTGCGGCGCTGAGGCGAGAGCCGCATTTTGAAATTCTGGGGCCGGGGCCAGGGGTATCACTTCCAGGGGCGGAACTGGTAGAATTTCGACGAAAGGGGAAGAGGGGGGGGGGCGCGAGCCCAAAAGGGCCCTGAAAAAATACCGCCGGCAATGGCCCCCAGCAGTCAACCTGGACATCTTTCCGCTCCCGCCTTGAAGTGTCCCCGAGACGCCCAGCAGGGCCCGCACTGGGTACCCCCCAGAGGACCCCGAGCGGCCCGAAGAGTCTCTGGGAGCCGACGCGGGAATCATGCTCATGGACGGTCCTGGACAGCACTATCCTTGAAAGGGGAACGCTCGGAGTGAACCTGAGGCGGCCCTGGAGCACAATGGTCTGGAACTGAACACACCTCGAGTGGGCACGTTCGGAATGTGGATCCAGCGTCTGCTGCGGATCCCAAGACAGGAGCCGGTGACCCCTCCAGGAGGGAGTACGTTGTGCCGTTAGTTTGTGATCCCTGCTGAGGCCCTCTGACCACCGACGTTGGGGAACCGAACAGCGAGAACAAGCATGGCATGCCGCAGGTGCGCGGAGCGATGGGGAACACGCAGAAAGAGCGAGGTCCTGTCGTTGCACTTGCCTCGGAAGTAGCTGTAACACAGCTTCGTCTGGCGGGCAAGCATATTTCGAAGGAGAAGCTGGATGGACGCACATGGGTAGGGCCAAGGACAGTGAAGGGAGGGAGGGACGGACAGAGGAAGGCAGAGAGAGAGAGAGGAGCAAAGGAGGGAAGAGGGAGCGAGGAGTAGGGGAGGAGGGACGAATGCCTGGGGGAGGAGGCAAGGGCGGGAAGGGACTGCGGCGGGCGGGGAGGGGAGCGTGGCGGAGCAGAGGACCGGGGAAGGCGAGGCAGGGAAAGGGGGGACAGGCCAAGGCAGAGGGAGGCGGAGGGAAGGCCACGTGAGGAGGTGCGCAGGGAAAGGGGGAGGACGAGAGAGACCCGAGGGAAGGGGAGGGGCCTCGGGAGGAGCGGCAGCTGGAGGCCCAGCTCGCCCCTCGGCCCACGCGGCCGCAGCTGCCAGGGCCGTCCCGGCGGCGGCGGCCCGGCCCGGGGCCACCCCCGGCAGGACGTCCGCGAGACGGGGCCCGTGGCCGAAGCCGGGGGCGTGGACGAGGGGCAACGATAGGGGGGATGGGCATAGGGGTGGATGCATCAACCCGGAATCGGCGATGCATCGTCGATAGATCGGCGACAGGACCCCGCTAAATCGAGGTCCTGGGCGGAGAGGGGCCCTCGGGCCCCCGTCGGCGATCAGTGGGCGATCGGGGGTCGAGGCATCCCGCCCCTGTGCCTATCCCCCCCTATCGCTGCCCCTGATCGGCTACACGCAAGAGTGACCCTGGGTAAGAGTGACCTTTGGTGCGCGGCTTTTTGGGGGCCGCGGGGAGACCAAACCTGGGTGCGCAAGCCGCTGCTACCGCTTCGTTTTCAGCCATCTGGGGACCCATCTGTGCCCGCACCAAAGGTCACTCCGGCGAAAGGTCACTCTTACGTATAGTCGAACTGAATAGGGGGTTCACCGCGCCGGCAGGAAACCCTGGCGGGCGGGCGGGCGGATCCGGCCCGAAGGCGGGCGGGCGGGCTGCTGTGCAAGCGACCAGGCAGGCGAGCCGGACCCTGACGAGCGGGCGGGCGGGCGGGCCTGCGAGTTCGCGGGCGGACCCCACCAGGCGGGCTGGGCGAGCGGGCCCTCGCGGGCGGGTCGGGCGGGCAGGGCACGAAGCGGGCGGGCGGGGCAGGAAAGCAATGCGGACTCGTCGTCGTTGACGGTCATCACTGTCGTCGCCGTCCCCGTCGCAGTCGCCGTCGCCGTCGTCGTCACCACCGTCGTCGTCGTCGTCGTTGTCGGTCGTCCGTCGTCGGTCGTCCGTCGTCGGTCGTCCGTCGTCGGTCATCCGTCGTCGTCGGCAGTGGCGTCAGCTGTATTGTCGTCGCTGTGCCGTCGCAGGGACGGGGGGTGTTGAACCCCCTTCCCCTCCCGTCAAACGGGAGGAGCGGGAAGGGAGGTCACCCATCTTCTGCCCTCCCCCCAGGGAAGGGAAATCACCGATGTCCCTTCTTCCAAAACGGCAATGAAAGAGGCTCGGCAATTCCTGCCCCATCCGCTCACCCCCCCTCCTTCCTTCCCGCTGTGGTTCTGCTCCCCTCCTCCTTCCCGTCACCCTCCCTCCCCCTCCCTCTCGTGCTCCTCCACCCCCCACGCTGTCAATAATCGCCTTCATGAGGTCTGGGCTGGGGAGCAGCTCGGACTTGTGGTGCGCGAAGGGACAGCCCGAGCCACGGTCACAACGACCCTGCTGGTAGAAGGTGCACATTTTGGTCTTGTGGAAGTGTTCCTGGCGGGGTCTGAAATTGTGAAAGAGGACGGAAATGGATTGGAGGGGACGGAGTCGAGAATGAATAAGACAGCGGGTCGGACAAAGTTCCCAGTATCGGGTCATGGTACCTGTCACCAAGATAGGAATATAACTGTGTGTCATACTCGTCGGAATCTACGACAACGGAGACAGCGGTTCGGTCGTTTGTGGTAGGCATATGGGCAGTGCATCCACAAAATATAAATCTACCAGAATATGTGTGTAGATATACAAGACTGCATTGGCGCTTCCAGCCATGCACCTTGGTCCTTGAGGCTTTGCTTCTGTTCCTTGGAAATGTTGCCCTTTACCTGCGGTAGTCTTCGGAAGCCCTCGAAAATTCGAAAGGTCTGTGGCCATTCCCGGGCCTCCGGGGGCTCCCGAAAGGCGCCGGGTGGAGGGCGAAGGATAGGAGTAAGGGAATCTCGGGGAGCGAGGAGAGGGAAGCCGGTGTGGGGGAGGACGACTGGTGGAGGAAGAGGAGGAGGAGGAGAAGGAGCAGGAGGACGGAAAGAGATGGTGCTGTCGGCGGACGGCGAAGAATTTCGGTTGCGCCGCACCGAGGAGCGCTGTCCAGAAGCTAACGGCTACGGTATCATGTGTACGTGCACGCTTGCAGAAATGTCTGGCAATGAATGACGACAAAAGGCCTTCGTAGGCCCGCATATTGGCCCGCTCGTGGCTTGCCAAGCAAACCGACGCAATGTTAAGCAACGCCGCCAAGTACAAAGCAATGCCAAGCCGCGGAGGTCATGTTGCAGCGGGTCGCAACAGGGCACGCGGAAGTAAATCATTCCTGGAGAATGCACCGAGTCCCGGGTTTGCAACACATTTCAGGGAAATGTGGTGGCGAACCCGGGATTGAGGTCAGTTTGGTGGAAACCGCCGTGTGGGCCTTATTGGAGCCCTGGTGGGCCCGCTTGGGGCCCTCTCGAGCCGTCCTGGGCCCTCTAGGGACCTTACGGGGGCAACGTGGGCCCTCCTGGTGGCCTCCCATGGCCTTCCTTGGGCTTCTCTTGGGGGCCTTGTGAGGGCCTGTTGGGCCTCTGTTTGGCCTATCTGGGGCTTCCTTGGACAGTCTTGGGGCCATCCAGGCCGTCTAGAGGCTCTCTTGGGAGTCTCTTGGGCCGTCTTGGAGCGATACCGGAAGCCTTTTTGGCTGTTTTGGACGCTGCTAAAATCCGAACAGCGAATATGCTGGACATGCACGCTTCCCTACGGAATGAAACGATTTTTGCTTTCTGGGAGCTGTTCAGGGCCTCCTCGGCCGTCTCGGGGGCCCCTGGAGGCCATCTGGGTCCTTCTTGGAGCGCTCTTGTGCTGTATTGGGTCTCTCTTCGGCCCCTCTGATCACCGCTCTGATCGCCTTGGGTCTGCTGGCAAGACCCTGCCAAGCGCCCTGGGAGGTTCGGGACGAGCAGGGGGACCTAAGGTGTCCGGGGGGCCCGGAAGCCCGGGATCCTGGGGGTCCGATTTTGGGATGGGGAGGGGGTTATCCCACCCCTCCGGCTTGCGAAAACATAGGAAGAATATTGAACGTGTTTAGATGTGCGAATATATCTATATATATATATATATATGTATATATATATATATATATATGTATGTATGTGTGTGGATACATCAGAATGACGGTGCCGAACAGTCATGCACTGTCTGTGGGTGCGTGGCTGAATTGGGGTTCCGCGGTGCGGATTGTTCTAGTTACTTTCCGTTGCGTTGTCAGTTGTCGTCGTCCCACCCGCGACCCGGCCCGCGACATGGCCCGCGATTCACCCTCGACCCACCCGCGACCCACCCGCGACCCGCCCGCGACCCACCCGCGACCCACCCGCGACCCACCCGCGACCCACCCGCGACCACCCGCGACCCACGAAGCGATCCACCCCGCGACCCACGCGCGACCCACCCGCGACCCAACAACGACCCGCCCGCGACCCGGCCCGCGACCCCGCCCGCGACCCACCTTGCGACCCACGACGAGACCCACGACGAGACCCACGACGAGACCCACGACGCGACCCAACCGCGACCAACCCTCGATTCACCCGCAGACCCCGTCAGCGACCCACCCGCGACCCACCCACGACCCACCAGCGACCCACCAGCGAACCGCCCGCGACCCACCAACTTGCTTTGACAAAAAAATTGGCGCCTGCGGCGGGCTTCTCCAGAGCCTCGCAGACTGCGGAGGACCCCGCCCACCCTTCACTCTTGTCCGTAACTGCGGGATGCAAAAATATACGTCCGCATGTGAAAATCGTTATCGTTGTCTCTTGCTCTCTCTCTCTCTCTCTCTAGATATATGTATATATGTATATATACATATGTATGTATGTGTATATCTCTCTCTCTCTGGCTCACTCTCGCCCTCACTCTATCTCGCTCTCTATCTCTCTATCTCCCTATCGCTCCCCATCAATATCTCTCTCTCTCTCGTTATCTCTCCCTCTCGAGTCCCGCTCACCATCTCCCATCTCTCTCTCTCTCCCTCTCTCGCTCTCTCTCTCTCTCGCTCTCTCTCTCTCTCTCTCTCTCTGTCTATGCATCCATTCAATATACATGACTTTGGTGGGTGTAATCCGTTGGCGATGGCGTCGCAGGTAACTACGCATTGTCTGAGAGACCCGGTATACCAGTGCAGCAAGCAGGTGGCTCGCGCGAGGGGTGAAGCAGGAACTGCCCTGCCCAGACTCGAGCTACGGGTGAAGACTCTCGCTCATGCCTGCCAGGCCCCGCGTACTGGGCAGTGGCGACATGGAGCGAGAGGTTGTGAGATGGTGGGGACGGCCCGACGACAGCGTGCAGAATAGCGAGGGCCAGAATAAAGCACTTAGCATTATGTCGGGCGTGTCCCCCTACAGGGAAATTCTCTACGAAAAATTCAAAATACCCCCAAAAAAATGTCCCGAGAAGGTCAACAATTATCCCGGCAAAGCAACCTAACAGCGATGTGTAGGAGCATATCTGGAAGCATTCCCCTTGAGATTCAGATGAGAATCAAGTTGTAGAATTCTGCTGTTCTCGGAGTCGTAGTCGCATTCGCGATAACAGTCGCAGTGGCAACGGCAGTCGGAGTCACAGCCTCAGCCTCAGCCTGCCTCAGCCTCAGCCTCAGCCTGCCTCAGCCTCAGCCTGCCTCAGCCTCAGCCTCAGCCTGCTTCAGCCTCAGCCTCAGCCTGCCTTCAGCCTCAGCCTCAGCCTCAGCCTGCCTCAGCCTCAGCCTGCATCAGCCTCAGCCTCAGCCTCAGCCTGCCTCAGCATCAGCCTGCCTCAGCCTCAGCCTCAGCCTGCCTCAGCCTCAGCCTCAGCCTCAGCCTGCCTCAGCCTCAGCCTCAGCCTCAGCCTCAGCAGCCTCAGGCCAGCCTCAGCCTTCAGCCTCAGCCTGCATCAGCCTCAGCCTCAGCCTCAGCCTCAGCCTGCCTCAGCCTCAGCCTCAGCCTGCCTTCAGCCTCAGCCTCAGCCTCAGCCTGCCTCAGCCTCAGCCTCAGCCTCAGCCTCAGCCTCAGCCTCAGCCTCAGCCTCAGCCTGCCTCAGCCTCAGCCTCAGCCTCAGCCTCAGCCTCAGTCCTTCAGCCTCGGCCTCAGCCTCAGCCTGCCTCAGCCTCAGCCTGCAGCCTCAGCCTCAGCCTCAGCCTGCCTCAGCATCAGCCTGCCTCAGCCTCAGCCTCAGCCTGCCTCAGCCTCAGCCTCAGCTGCTTCAGCCTCAGCCTCAGTCTGCCTTCAGCCTCGGCCTCAGCCTCAGCCTGCCTCAGCCTCAGCCTGCATCAGCCTCAGCCTCAGCCTCAGCCTGCCTCAGCCTCAGCCTGCCTCAGCCTCAGCCTCAGCCTGCTCAGCCTCAGCCTCAGCCTGCTTCAGCCTCAGCCTCAGTCTGCCTTCAGCCTCGGCCTCAGCCTCAGCCTGCCTCAGCCTCAGCCTGCCTCAGCCTCAGCCTCAGCCTCAGCCTGCCTCAGCCTCAGCCTGCCTCAGCCTCAGCCTCAGCCTGCCTCAGCCTCAGCCTCAGCCTGCTTCAGCCTCAGCCTCAGTCTGCCTCAGCCTCGGCCTCAGCCTCAGCCTGCCTCAGCCTCAGCCTCAGCCTCAGCCTGCAGCCTCAGCATCAGCTGCCTTCAGCCTCGGCCTCAGCCTCAGCCTGCCTCAGCCTCAGCCTGCATCAGCCTCAGCCTCAGCCTCAGCCTGCAGCCTCAGCCTCAGCCTCAGCCTGCCTCAGCCAGCCTGCAGCCTCAGCCTCAGCCTGCAGCCTCAGCCTCAGCCTGCTTCAGCCTCAGCCTCAGTCTGCCTTCAGCCTCGGCCTCAGCCTCAGCCTGCCTCAGCCTCAGCCTGCATCAGCCTCAGCCTCAGCCTCAGCCTCAGCCTCAGCCTGCCTCAGCATCAGCCTGCCTCAGCCTCAGCCTCAGCCTGCCTCAGCCTCAGCCTCAGCCTGCTTCAGCCTCAGCCTCAGTCTGCCTTCAGCCTCGGCCTCAGCCTCAGCCTGCCTCAGCCTCAGCCTGCATCAGCCTCAGCCTCAGCCTCAGCATGCCTCAGTATCAGCCTGCCTCAGAATCAGCCTCAGCCTGCCTCAGCCTGAGCCTCAGCCTGCCTCAGCCTCAGCCTCAGTCTGCCTTCAGCCTCGGCCTCAGCCTCAGCCTGCCTCAGCCTCAGGCTGCCTCAGCCTCAGCATCAGCCTGCCTCAGCATTCAAAATCATGCCCAGGAATGGAGTTCTGGGAACTCGAAGACCACGAAGTGGCCTACAATTGGCTCTGGGCTTTCAAAATCATGCCCAGGAATGGAGTTCTGGGAACTCGAAGAACACGAAGTGGCCTACAGTTGGCTCCGGGCATTCAAGATCATGCCCAGGAATGGAGTTCTGGGAACTCGAAGACCACGAAGTACGTTACTGTTGGGGAAAAAAGGAGTCCCCGGATTCCCGCGGCACCCGTCCGGCATCTACCCAGACCCCCCTGGGTTGAGCCCACTAGAAACCTATCAGTCTTCGCTGTTA